CCTGTTCTGTTTCTTGAATAAAATTTACTTATTGCTCTTGCATTGGTGTTTCTCTGGTGTTGGGAACGAGGACCAGATCCTGATTTTCAAGACAATTTCACTATCTCAAAATTAAAAATAAATAAAAAGTTCTGGGGATGTGGCTTAGCTCCACTGGGTTCAGTTTCTCTTTTAAAAGAGAGAGAGAGAGAGATGACTAGCATTTATTCTTTAAGCAGTCAGGCTGTTGAATGCCTGTTACGTAGTAGGTCTTGGTAAATGTTTACCCCATGGAATTGAATACAGCCGACCCTCCTAGTTAGTTTCATTTTCTAATAAGCCTTTCTTAACCTTTCAGCTGGGAAAGAGCATTCCACATTCTGGCCTGAGTCACCAAAGCTATCTCTCCCACGTAACTAGGCTAGAGGTAGATTTTGTAGTGTTTATTTCCTGGAAACTGCTGCACTCCTCCCTTGGGAGGCAGCCTGTTATAGAAGGAAATGTTTGACTTTTGAAAACAGAGGCTGGTGCCAATAGCCATTGTTTTGGGCAAGTTATTTACTTCTTGGAAGCCTCAGTTTTCTCATTTGTATTATTGAATGAGGATAAAATAATAGATAGTAAAAGGACCAGGCAGTCAGGATAAAGGGAAACTAACTGGTAGATAGCACCTTCAAGGCCTATTTCAAATGTAAAAGACCTTGAGGCTTACCTGTGGGATCACCTCCAGCCAACTCCTTTGTCCCAAAGGGGGAAAATGGAAGGTGGGGGTGAACCTGGATGGAAGTGAGCCTGGAGGGTAGCCCTGAGCCTTTTCAATATCTATTTTACAAAAGAATCTGCTCCATATTCTGCCCCAGAACCATATATAAACTCCTAAGCTGGCATACCAGAATTTTTTTTTTTTTTCTGCTATCAGGTCCCTCTCCCACATGGTGGGAGTTGTCTCACTTAAATAAATCCTGCTCTGTTTACTCTTCCCTTTGGTGATTTGTCCATGGATTTTTATTCTTCAAGAATCCAGGGGGGGCTGGGGATGTGGCTCAAGCGGTAGCGCGCTCACCTGGCATGCGTGCGGCCCGGGTTCGATCCTCAGCACCACATACCAACAAAGATGTTGTGTCGCCAAAAACTGGAAAATAAATATTAAAAAATTTTCTCTCTCTCTCTCTCTCTCTCTCTCTCTCTCTCTCTCTCAAAACTGTTTAAAAAAAAAAAAAAAAGAATCCAGGGGAAGGGCCGGGGTGATGGCTCAGTGGTAGAGCGCTTGCCTAGCACATATGAGACCCTGGGTTCGATCCTCAGCACCACATAAAAATAAATAAAGAAAGAATCCAGGGAAATTGGCAGCGTGGAGAATGGAGTCTCATCTCAGAACTCCGGCTTCATCATGAGATAATGTACCTGCCTAGAAGATTTATTATGAGACTCAAATGAGATACTGTGCTTTTGGGCTGAGTTGTGGCTCAGTGTAGAGCGCTTGCCTAGCACAAAAGAGGCACTGGGCTGGATCCCCAGCACCACATTAAAAAAAAAAAAAAATCTAAATGAGATACTGTGTTTTGTTAGAGTCTGTAAACAAGTCAGGATGGCACCTGGCATTTTGCCAGAGAAATGTTAGAGTCTGTAAACAAGTCTTTATGGCACATGGCAAAATGCCAGAGGGAGTGGTTTGGGAAGTGGAGCCAGCGAGCCATTAAGTGTGGAGATTTCTTATTGGTTGACTGCTGTATGGAGTTTATGTTAATTAAATAGGCTGTGTGGAATGTATAAATATCATTCCGGTCCTACAATAAAGGCTTCCACTCCTGCTGTATCAATGTGCACAAGTAGTTCGTCACCCCCCCCCCTCCGTTATTTTGCTGCAGCCGGACTGCGGCAGTGTTTTATCTTAATTTCCTAGTCCCTCATAATACTGTCTTCTTCCTCTCCATGCAGACAAGATGGACAAGGAAATATGAACAAGAGTAAGTGGGGTAAGGGTGCTGGGGAACACCTGACAAGAATTAGAGGAACCAAGCAGTTAGTGTAGAGATCAGCAGTCCTGAGCTAGGGTCCCAGCCCTGCTTTGCAAAAGTATGTAACCCTCCTCTGTAGAATGGACATAACAACACCGTCTTGCAGGTTTGTAAGGATTTTAGGAGAGAATAGATGTGACTTTTCCAGCACCTAGTAGGTCCCCCATAAATAGTAGTTACTATAAAATCAGGCAAGGTGGGCAGCTACCAAAGGAGGCAGATTTAAAAAGGCCGCTGAACGAGGCTTTATTGAGATATCAGGATGGAACTCTTATCAGAGTGAGCTGGAGAAGGGTCTGAAGAGAAACAGCTTGGAAGCTCTACCAGACTGGACTTTTATGGGGCTTACAGCAGGAAGGGAAGGTCTTGGGACAGGAAAAGGTGTTTTTGGAGTCCCTTGTCCCGCTGGAGTTGGTCAGGGGAGCTTGGCTGAACTCTGCGATTGGCCAGGAGGTCCTGATGACTGACAGGCATGAGTCAGGAGATCCCGCTGATTGACAGGCATTTCTGTTGGGTGCCTGATAGGCGCCTGATAGATGTTTCTTTTGCACGTGGTCTGCTTTGTTGTAAGTCACCGCCACCAACCTGACTTAGTCTAAGACATTTACCTTTTCCTTGTTTTTTGCTGTTAATTCTTTCATCCATTTAAAACACCAGCTAGGGGCTGGAGATAATAGCTCAGTTGGTAGAGTGCTTGACTCGCATGTACAAGGCCCTGGGTTCAATCCCCAGCACTGCCACAAAAACAAACAAAACACCAGCTAACTCTTCCCACTTTCTTTTCTTGGCCCCATCCCCTCTTGAACATAGTAGCTTCCTGTTTGTCCACAATTCCTACATCCAGGCAGGGGAGGGGGGAGCTAAAACATTAAGGAAATAATTCTTAACAATTGTGAGGTAACCGCTCCCAGCCAACGATCCGTGTCCTGAAGAAAGAAGCCGCTGCACACGATATGCCTTTTCGAATGCTCGGTTTATTCACACCAGGTTTCATCACATCACACGAGGCACAGGAACAGAGACTGACGGGGCTCAGTTCGCTGGATGTTAACCCACTGGCATCGTGGATCTGAACTGGCCAAAGAGCTCAGCCTTCCTGGCCCTTAAATACTATAGTTGTTTACAACACTTCAAACCAAAACATGTTTACGTCGTGGCTTCTATCTCTTATCCTATCCTCACAGATTATGTTTACACTGCATCACAACACACTTATCCTAAACTACCACACTTGTTTGTGCTAAAATACATCAAAACATGTTTACCTTATGTCCTTATCTAACTCACACATATTTCTAACTTATGCACCCTTCTTCATCAAAACATGTTTACTTCAAATTCTCCTGTCAGTGTGTGTGTGTGTAAAAGACAGAATATTTGTTAGACGTGGGTGTCTCCAAATCCCAAGAGAGCAAAAATGGGGATCTCCTTCAGTGGAAGTCTCCGTGTGTGACTATGGCTCCATCAGAGCTCAGATCCTGGGATGAGGAAAGAGGAAGGAAAAATAAATAAATAATAAAATAAATAAATAAAAATAAATAAAAACAGAAAGAAAAGGACTGGGTCATTTAGCAGCTCCTACAATTACTCTTTCTAAAGGCATGCCTGAAAAAGATCAAGCTTGCTCTCGAGGGTGTGGCAGCCAGTGGGGACACCCCAGGTTGCCCACTGAGTTCTCACAGGGGGCGACTTGCCCCAAGTGCCAGGTTGAGCGCAAGCTGGGCTGGATCTCACGGTTCACTCACGTCGGTTCATCAGAGTGGCCACAGGAAAGGACGTGGTGGTCATCGGACGTCCCCAAGCCCCTAGGGCTAAGCGAAACCCAGCGCCCCGCCCTCACCCCGCCCGAGGCAGGACTTCAAACCTCCGGGACCGCTGCGGAGTCAGCTAGACGGCCACTCCCACAGCTGCCACCTCTGGCTCTCCAGAGGGGACCCCCGCGGGGCCTGCCCTTGCGCCCCACGTGACTTCCTGAAAGCCTAGGGCACCGCCTCTCTCCAACTTAGTTTCGTTTCCTCCGCTGCCTGGGGACGGTCGCGCCGCGGTCCCCTGCCGTGCTAGCGTGTCTCATCCGGTGTCCCCAGGAGCGCCATGGCGGAGCTGTTCCTGCTGGCGGAGGAGCTGTCGTGCTCCATCTGCCTGGAGCTCTTCAAGGAGCCGGTCACCACCCCGTGTGGCCACAACTTTTGCCGATCGTGCCTGGACGAGACGTGGGCTGTCCAGGGCAAGCCGTACCGGTGTCCCCAGTGCCGCGCCGTGTCCCCGTCGCTCCCGGAGTTGCGAAAGAACACGGTGCTGTGCGCGGTGGTGGACCAGTACCTACAGGCCGAGCTGGAGCAGGCGCCCGTGGCCGACTGGACGCCACCTTCCCCTCCCGAGGTCCCCAGTCCCGCCACCCAGGTGTTCTGTGACCACTGCCTGAAAGCGGAGGCCGTGAAGACCTGCCTGGTGTGCATGGCCTCCTTCTGTCCGGAGCACTTGCGGCCACACCTCGAGAGTCCTGCCTTCCAAGACCACCAGTTGCAGCTGCCGGTTCGAAACCTGCTGAAACGAAAATGTTCTCGGCACAACCGCCTGCGGGACCTGTTCTGCCCCACACATGGCGAGTGTATCTGCCACGTCTGCCTGGTGGACCACAAGACCTGCTCTCCAGTCGCCCTGAGCCAGGCCAGCACCGATCTGCAGGTAGGGTATGGTCGTGGAGGATGCCCAGAGCAGCCTGGGCCTGCTGCTGGGTTGTGGAGAGGGGCCGGGTTTGCTAGTTCACAGCCATCTGGGTGACAGGCCACCTAGGCAGGTGCGTATCCCCAGTGATGGATGGAGCTGGGAAATTATGTCGCCCTTCCCCTTATCCATTGTGGCCATCCCCCTGTTGCTCCCCGAAAGAACAGTTTTACAGAAGGAATAATTGAAGTCACAGGTGCGGTAGCTTGTGCTTATCTGATGGTTTTTAGTAAGGGTTCTGAGTGTCAAAGAGGACCCTGGAGGTTCCCTCACTAAATGCTGGCAACCCCTAGGAGGTGTGTATTACTTGTTCCGTTTCACAGATCAGGCAACCGAGGTCCAGAGAAGTTAACTTAGCAAAGCCAGTGTAGCAAAGTTGCCAGGCCAGCTGGGACCCAGATTGGTTTGATACACCATTTGCAGTTTTCCCCTGGGGACTAGAATTCCAATCTCTATAGAGTTCAGAGCGGGGAACATTCTGGGAGGCTTGAGGTCACATAAGCAAAAGTCTTGCTGGGATGGAGAGTTTTGGTGGTCAGGGAGGGTGGACGGTGTTTCAGGAAGCCCCGAATTAGAGCCACTTGAAGAGCGAGTGCTCTCACACTATGGTGTCCATCCTGCTGTGGGACTTTGAGTGTGGAATTTGTCCCCGGACCTGCGTCCTCGCTGGTAAACAGAGGAGGAATATGGTGGACTCCTAAGGGCCTCTCAGGTCTATGATGTTTTTAGTGGTTTGGGACATCATAGGTTCCCCTTGTGGACTCAAAAGCAGAAGCTGAAGAAGTGTAAACAAACTTTTGTTATATCAAACTAAGCCCTGAAGTGTGGCCTGATTTCATCGCATTCTCCCAGCACTGTCAGGGAGAACAAGGCCTGTCCTGGGCTCTGTCCAAGGAGGTTTGAGACTGGGCGAACCTAGAAGGTGTGCAGTGCCAGGACCAAGGCCCGGACCTTGCTCCCTCTGGCCACAGCCCTGCCCTGGCCTTGCTTGTCACTCTGGGTCCGAATGGGGGCTTCTTTGGGCTTTTTCCCTAGGTCTTAGCAACTGGACCTCAAGGTATGTCTTCTGAATTGACCTCCCTTCTGGCATCACCAATTCAAGTTATAGATACCTGAGTCTCCACCTGTTCCCGGAAAGAACCTGCCCAGCCCTTAGAGCCAGGAGCCCTGTTTTGCTCCAGAGATGAGCAATTTGGGACAAGTCGCAGCAGATCTGAGCTTTGCTTCCTCACCTGCCAAATGGAATTGATAGCATTCCCGGTCCACCCTCAAGGGGAGCTTGAGGCTCCCTAGCTGGGAAATGATAAAAAGGGAACTGGAAATGCTAGGCTCGGAAAGTTATCGTGAGGGAGGCAGGCATAGCAGGTTGCCCAGCTGGTCTTTCCAAGGTTCATGGGCTTATTGGTGCAGCCTAGTTTTGAAGAGGCACTTTTAGGAGGCAGAAAGCAAGTAGGGGCAGGAGGGCTTCTCAACCTGGCTATAGCAACTGCTGCCTTTCAGCCTTTGGGACCCTGAGTTGGAGTCTGACTCAGCTTTATGTGCCAAACATATATGCTTGGCTTTTTTTTTTTTTTTAATCCCTAAAACAGGATTCTCTGCCATTTCCCACCCCCAAGTGTCTCTTTCTGTCTCTCTGTCTCTCTCTCTTTTTTTTTTTTTTTTTTTTTTTTTTTACTGGGAATTGAACCCCAGGGCACTTAAACACTCAGCCACATCCCAAGCTCTTTTTTTATATTTTATTTAGAGACAATCTCACTAAGTTGCTTAGGACCTCACTAAGTTGCCAAGGCTGACTTTGAACCTTCGATCCTCCTATCTCGGCCTCCCGGGCCACTGGGATTATAGGCCTGCACCAGTGCACCAGGCCCAAGTGTCTCTTTTGCTGCTGCTCACCACTGCTTCAGGGCCACTCCTAGCTGGGCATTGTTCCCAGCCTTGGGTGGCTGACTCGGTGTGGGGTGGATTCAGGACTCTGCTGCTTCCTGTGCAGAGGAACACAAGTCCTTGACCTCTGCCACAATCCTCAGACCTTCCTTTATTTTGTGTGTGTGGTGCTGAGGATTGAACCCAGGCAAGCACTTTACTAACTGAGCTGTATCCCCAGTCCCCTGAAGTTCCTGGGCCTCTTCCCTTTGCCCTGAAGTCATGTGGGCCCCTGTGCACAATGAGGGGACTGTCATATGTGTCTGGTGAATGGTGGGTGAATGGGGATCGGGTTGCAGTGCTAAGAGCAGCTTTTGGAGGTGAAACAGTTTCTAGCCCCTGGGTGTTCTGAGGTCTCCTCCAGCTCTGTGAGATCAGATGTGCCAGGATTTGGCCTTTGGCCCTAACCCTATCTCAGTTACTGGTAATGTCCAGGTGGAAGAGCAGTGTAACAGAGGTAAAGTCTGAAACATTGATGGTGGCTTGGGCTTTCTGGGTTAAGTTCATGTGGCCTTGGTCTCTGCTTCCAACCCTTACGTGTGACTGTCACTAGGTTGTTCAACTGTAGATTCAAGGTCAGGTTCCAGCCCTGAATATCTCTAGTGGAGTGGGAGAAGTGGAAGGAAGGGCAAAGTATGTTGAGCCAGCTTGTTGGAGGAGGGAAATGATTTCTCTTTTTCCAGAAGTTTCCAGCGTGCTCAGTTTCATAACAGGTCTATAACTTTAATATCAGCAACTTAGCTCTGCCAATTACTAGCAATGCCGTCTTGCACAGGGCGCCCATTGCTCTGTGTCTCAGTGTCCTTGTCTGCGAAGGTTGGGTGATTCCTACCCAAGCCCCATAGTATTGTTCTTAGCTTTAAATGAGTTAATGAGGGTCAACACTAGAAGAGAACCCGACACACAGTAAACACACCATAACTGCTACCTGCCCTTATGAGGGTGGTGGCAATGGTGATTTTTTTTTTCTCCCCATTTCTGTGCCCAAACATTTGTCTGAGAAAAATGTAGGAGACTTGGATATTGGTATTGATGTAGGAGACTTACCGAAATAAATGAGGATGACATTATCTCCTTTCATATGTAATTGAGTTGTTTCCGGAGGTGGCCAGGAGTCGAGCAATTCCAAACTAGCTTAATTCAACCTCAGGGCCTGAGCGATGGGCAGCTGGGCTGCAGACCCTGTGGGCTGGCTCCTCTATATTCCTAGCCTTCATGGTCCCAGCCTAGGGTGACCCGGTGAAGTGTGGACTCTACCTTTGTTCCCCTGCCTCTCTGAAGCTGACGCAGGTTGCCCAGCCTCCTTCTAGAATTGGCAGATGTGTCCAGGGAGGACAGTCGCAGAAGTCCAGCTTACGACTCCGGGTTCCCTGCCCCAGGTTCGTGGTTCGGAAGTCTTCCCCTGCTTTCCAGCATCTTTTAGCAGATCGCTCTTCTATGATATTTGTCTGCTTTTCTGGTTGTCTGAATGAATTCATCTGCCATTACTGAAGTGGCCGCCCCAGCTCCATCTGTCTCTGTGTGAGCCTGGCTGCTCGCTGTCTCCTTGCCTCGATTCCATCAGCTGTACAATGAGGAGTAGTGAAGAAGTTCAGCATCCTGGATGGTGATCCTTAGTATGTCTCGACTAGGATCCTGGCACTGTGTGGGTCCACCCAGGAGCCCTGTAAGGCTGCAACAGTTGCATCTGGTTTCATGGTCAAGGAAACTAAGTGGGAGACAGTTGGACCACTGGGAGTTAGGACTTGAACCTGTTTTTTTTAATACTTATTTTAGTTATACATGGACACAATGTCTTTATTTATTTATTTTTATGTGATGCTGAAGATCGAACCCAGTGCCTCACATGTGTGAGGCAAGTGCTCTGCCACTGAACCACATCCTCAGCCCTTGAACCTGTTTTATCTGGCTCCAAATCTTTACTTCTTTATTGACTGTACTATCCCCCTAAAAGGATGAAGGGAGGCAATAAATAGAATTCTTCGAAGAAAGACTTGCGGTGGCAGAAACAGTGGGATAGATATAGGGGGTGGCTCCTGGTGTGGGGGCTGGGAGGGGCTGAAGAGGACCTCTCTCTCACCCTTCCTTGTTTCCTCTGCAGAACAAACTGAGGCATAAGCTAACCATCATGTGCAGTCATATCAACGGGGCAACAAGAGCACTGGAGGATGTAAGAGCCAGGCAGCAGAGCTTCAGGGTGAGTAGCAGCTCCCCCCACAAACGACTCCCAGCCTCCTTTGACCTCCAGCAAAGACAGACAGGGCTCTGACCTGGACAACGCTAGTTGCACGCACAAGAGTCAGAATTAATCAGCAACCTTGCAAAACAGATAAAGATGAAAAGCTATGTGCCTGAAAAAGATCCCTCACAAGGCTGCAACTGAGAACTACCCGTAAGCCCAACCAACATTGCAGGAGTGATTACAAATCAGGTTTAGCGCTAGGGATGTAGCTCAGTGGTAGAGCATTTGCCAAGCATATGTGAGGCCTCTGGGTTCAAGAAAAAATTTTTTTCAACAAGTAAAAAGAAAGATTAGATATTCAAAGACTCTGTCCCCAAGCCTCCTGTTTATTGCAGCAGCTGTGAGTTTGTTAGATGAGATGTGGTTATAACAATTCTATTATGTACTAGCTTTTGTGGCCTGGGGCACCATGGAGCCTTAGTTTTCCATTCTGATCAGTGAAATCACAACTCCTCACAAAAGATCCAGAATTGCACAAAGGACACTTTGTTAGGGACTTGTGGAGAGAAGTGTGTCTTGGGTAGCAGCAAGACAGGAGGATCCCCAAACTCCAAGGCAGGGGGAATGGGTTTATGTGCTAAACTAGGCAAAAATGGCCCGTGGCTAACTGGAATGCACCTGTCCTTTCGTAGAAACTATCACCATGCCCGACATCTGTTAAGTAATGAATGGTCTAGGGGGTTGGGGGCTGTAGCTCATTGGTAGAGCACTTGCCTAGTGTGTGTGAGGCACTGAGTTCGATCCTCAGCACCACATGAAAATAAATAAAGGTTTAAGAAAAAAATGAATTTTTTTTTTTTTTGGTTATGCTGGGGATTGAACCCAGGGCCTTGTGCATGTGAGACAAGCACTCTACCAACTGAGCTATATCCCCAGCCCTTAAAAAAAAAGTCTTTAAAAAAATACTTAAGAGAAAGAAAAAAAACAATCTAGGCATTAGTGGCCAGCACAACATGCTCGGCTGACTACCTTAATGACTTTGACCCTTAGGGTTTGGGATGTGTGCCAAACTGGCATTTATTATGACCAGGATAACAGAAGTCACATCAGGCTGGCTGTCTCCACTGGGTCTCCATTACGTCTTTGTTATAGCCTAGAAAGGGAGAACAGGAAGATGACAAGTGGTTTCCTTCTGTTTCCTTCTCTTGTCTCCTTTTAAGCAAGAGACACAGTATGGCACACATAACTTCCCTCATGGGAAAGAGCTTGGTTATATTGCAAAGCCTAGCTGCTGGAGAGTTCGGGAAATGTAGTCTGGGCGGCTGCGTGCCCGCCTGAAACTCCAAGGGTGTTCTCTTCCTAAAGGAAAAGGTGACCGTGAACATTGGAGCGCACTGGTAGTAGTCTGTCCCTCCCTGTGTGTTTGTCACGTTGGATGCTGAGCTATTGAAGTTATCCAAGATGTTAAGGCTCCTAAAGCAGCACGAACAAATACAATGGAAACCTTCCACGTGATTTTAAATAAACATGAGAAACCCATGAAATCATTTCATTTTGATTTTTTTTTTTTTTTTTTTTGCAGCACAGAGAATCAAACCCAGGACATCATATGTGTTAGGCAGGCACTTTGCCACTGACTTACATTCCCAGGATACAGTTCATGCGGGGCACAGTGGTGCATACCTGTAATCCCAGTGGCTCTGAGGCTGAGGCGGGAGGATCATGAGTTTGAAACCAACCTCAGCAATTCAGTGAGACCCTGTCTCTAAATGAAAAAATGAAAAGGACTGGGGGTGAAGCCCAGTGGTTAAGCATTCCTGGGTTCAGTCCCTGGCACCATAAATAAAC